AAATTAGGAATGATCCATGACATGAAACACTATGCAGGTGGTTAGAAAAATGATTAAAGTTTTTATATTCTTATGATGAGAGATGCAGTTTTCTAAAAGTCAAAATTATAGAATCTTTATACATGTGACATAATCTAGTCTTTCCCTCCCCCTCCACTTCCGCTGTTGCCCTCATTCCTTCTTTCACTCAGGCATTTTCTGATTTTTCACATTTCTAACATCATAACTGGAAACACTTTATACCTTTGTGAGTTGTTTGAAATATTTAATCCTTTGATTTCATTTTATTAAATTACATAATTTGAAAAAAATGCAGATAAACCCTTTTAGACACAATGTTTTAAGTAAGTAAAGGAATGACATTGAAAACAAAATATTAAACCATGAGCCCTTAGTGTTGTAAAATATTAATGTATTCAGTGATCAAGAAGCACAAATCTTTGCCTGTTTCAAATGAGGACACAAACATTAGTAAATTCGAACGTTAAAGAAATATGGCCAATACTGTACCTACAAATGAAGCCCAATACCTGGTATTTGTTTTAGCTTCAGTGTGTTTTATTTTCCGAAAAATCGACTATTTTCTCCTCAAAGTTGATATAAAAGAAAGTTCCCTAGGTTTCCACCATGTGTCACATCACTCACAAGAGGGAGTAGAAATCATGTTTACTTCAAAGATAAACATTGTTTAAATGACTTCAGCAGCTTCATGGGCTAACTCCAAGAAAATGTGTGGCAGACAACTGTGTAATTTTTCGGAATGGTCTTCAACATCACCCTTATGTCCATAGCTTATCAACAGTGTTTACGGACAGTGTAGCAGTAGCACACTTGCTCATAATATGAAAATTCTTATGGTGTATTTCAAGGTCATCATCAGGGGAGGAGGGTCTCAGGAGCCCAAAACAGATATGTGTTTCTGTGTGTGTGTGTGTGTGTGTGTGTGTGTGTGTGTATGTGTGTGTGTGCTTACATGTATGAATGGTATGAATGAAGGTCAGAATGTCCGGTGAAGCAAAGGTAGAAAAGATCAGCATTCAGAATAAAAATCTGATTAGGTTGTCAAGTAGCAGTGAGAGCAGGGAGGCACAAAACAAATCTAGTTACTGGGTAACTTGAAAAGAAAGCCTAAATGATGTCCCACACAAAGGTAACACATTCTTGACTCCCCATTGTAAGAATACTACAATATACACCATGTTCTATATAGATTTATATGGAGACAAACATAATAAAATCTTTCAAAATATCCAGACAGATAATTACTCTGCAAGATAATAGTGAACTTTCAAAATGTGCTCAACACCTAAATAGTTGGAACATCATGGTAAATACTATGTTTTCCTTAATATGGAAGGGCACTACTGTTCCCTCACTGCTAAAGGAATGGTGATACCAGAACAGTTCTGGGATCGTATACAGAAAACCATTGCATCATACTAGGGATGTGGTATGTTTTTTACACTTATATTAGCCTGTAGTTACTGCATGTTATTTAATGGGAAGAAAAATAATGAAGCAAAATAGAAATTTTCAAACTGTTAAACCAATGGCCTCACGTAAAAATGGAACAGGAATGTTTTTCTCCGGCTTCACTGAACGTAAAGTTCAGAATCCATAACCACTTACATGCAACGTTCCAGAAAAGTACACCCAAAATAAAACCATGAGGTGGTATTTATGGCATTCACAGCAATGTACATTGCATTTAGCAATCCTTTTGGAAGGAAGCGTTTGGGCACAAAAGGACCATAAGTACCATGTTTTTTCTTTTACTTAATCTGTACAACACCCTGTAACACTCAATGAATTATTTATGTAAATACCTCTAGTGTATGAAAAACTTCACATTTGTTGGTAAAATTTTGCTAATATTGTAGCTTCTTTAAGCATATAAATGAATCATATTACAAAAAGAAATGAGAATATTTAGTAAAAGATTTATCAAAAATGAACGTTTTTAAAATAAAGCTAAATTATCTCTGAAGAGACATGATAATTATATCACTTCCAAAAATCTCAACTGCATTTAGGTTTCTGGCTGGAGGTTGTAAATGTCAAATCATTTTTCAAATAGTAACTATATTCAGGGGTTGAGAATTATGCTGAATGTTAAGAATACATTATGTTATTTATATGATATCACTTCAACTACATAATAGCCTTTTGTGGTGGGATTATCACAATTTTACATATGTAAACACTAAGCCTCCAAAATTTTATATGACTTCTTCATGGTTAAATGCTTGAAAGTTATAGAGAGATTCGACACAAAGAATAGCTCGTTCCAAAATTTAGATGCCATAAAATAGTTTATTACCATGTAGAGCTATAACAGGAAGTTATTAGATTTTAATGTGGAAAGTATACACATGATATGTAGGTTTTGAAGTTCTTTGCTTTCTCATCCATTCCAAGCATTTTATGAACAGCATTTTTAAATGCTTGTTAAACTAAGCATTGAATAGAGCCACCGAATAACAATTAGAATGTTATAACCATGAAAGAGAATGAGAGTCTAGGTGAGACATGTGTTTCGATTTAGAGAACAGACCTGATATGGAGTCCTAGCCTCAATACCTGTCTTTGTGTCTTAAACTATGTGAGCACTTTCATGGGGTTCTTATCTCATTTTAACCCTTCCTCTGGACTGACTCTAATACCATTCCCACTTCTCCATCATGCCTTACAGAAGTGCTCAGAAAGACTCAAGTATCATTGAAATTTTCCTTGCCTGATGTTCTGGTGATGAACTTCACTGAAAATGTATCCATGTGCGTATCTAAATTTAATGTATTAAATGATGTTGTCATAGCAGAATTCTCACTTTGACAAAGCTTCTAATTCTATTTTTCACTGAGTTATGTCATGATCCCTCTTGATACTCTCTCCACCAATTTATCTCTTTGTACTTTTTAAAATTATTAGTATATTTAGGCTTAAGTTGACCTAATATTATTTATTTTTGTTTCTTTCTCTGTTTGTTGTTCCTGTTTCTCTTTTCTTGCCTTCCTGTGAGTTATTTGAACATTTTTAATGTTCCTATCTTAAATTTATACTGTTTTTGAGTGTATCACTTCATATAGTTTCTTCTAGTGGTTATTTAACGAATAAAAATACATATATGCTTAAATTATCACAGTCTGTTTGTATTGATATCTTGTCACTTAGAGTGAAATGCAGGAACCTCACTTTTATTTAGGTATCTTTCCCTCCCATTTTAATAATATATTTATACTAAGTACTAACTTTACATGCACTAAACATCAGCATGTGTGGTACAACAATATCTGCTTCAACCAACAAATATTTTCAGAAAATCATAAAAAGAAAAGTCTCTTGTATTTAACCCTTATTTTTATCCAATCTACTGTACTTTCTTTTCTGAAATTTTGAATCTTCTCTTATCATTTCTTTTTTTTTTTTTCTCTCTAGAAAATGTCCTTTAGCCATTCTTTAAGGATAGGCTTATAAATAAATTATCTGACTCTTCTTTATGTGAGAATGTCTTTGTTTTCCCTTCATTACTGAAGTATACCTTCACTGGATGTAGGATTCAGGATTACTCACTATTTTTTTAAGCACTTGTAAAGCGTGACACTCTCTTTTGACCTCTGTGGTTTCAGATGAGAAATCTATCACTAAAATTGGTATTTTTCCATGGGTATATATTGTTTCTCTCTGCCTATTAAATTTTTTCATTGGCTTTAATTTTTCAGAAGTTTGTAAGTGTTATGGCCTCTGCTGAGTTCTACTGAAGCCATTCCAGACATTTTGTGGACAATCTTTTCGTTGTCTCTCTGGAGTCAGTTATTGCCAAAAATGTTTTTCTATTATATCATTCCACTCTTCTCAATCCTTTGGCTGAGGTGAGCAGGATTACCTTGTTCTGTTTTGGTTTGTTTGTTTTAATTTTTGTCTGATCCTGTTAGTGGTTCTGTGGCTGAGCCTTCTACAATGCTCTGTCTAGTGGATACGGGAAGCAAAAAGGAAACTCAGTCATTTTCATGCTGATACTCAAGTCCAAAGTCCTTATGGAGTCTGCTTTCTTAGCTTTACTATAGAGTCTTCCTATGCTTGTTTTTTATGTATGCTCAAGTTTTTCACTTTTAAGAAGGAGGACCTGAAAGAATGTGGTTCCTCTATCTTGGCCATTACCCTACCACTAGGTGAACCTGCATATTTTTGCATGAATGAATGAAGATTTTGCCTAAGTTTGCCATGTAGCAGGTCAATTGTCTGCTGATGCAAGAAAACAGAGGTTTTCTGACCTTGCTACATATATATATACACATATATATACACATATATACACATGCATATATATACACATACATATATTTATATATATGTATGTATGTGTGTGTGTGTGTGTATATATATATATATATATATATATATATATATATATATAGAACGTCTTCAAATTGGTGCATTAACTGTAACTACTTAAGATGAGAACATCTTCTAATGTGGAGGGGCTTTAAAATCTGGGTAAGAAGTTCTCTGCTATAGTTCAGGACTATGAAAACATATCTGTAAAGTGACAAATCGTTATGGCATATGGTATGCAAACCCTATCAATAGAAAACTCTTTTATATTATATAAAAAGAAGACATTATAATATGCCTGTCATGACCGCAGTTATTCAAAATATAAAATATAGCTGTAATTACTTAACCAAGTTGTTTAAAATACCCAGGAGTGTTTTGGAGCCTAGGCATCCATCTAGGTCTTTTCTCTTACATGTGATTTATTTTCCCTTTCTAAAAACTTTAAACAATTTTCCTTCTTGCTGTGTTGTTTAAATTCATTGTGCTGTTTTTAGGTATGTGTTTTAAATCTTAGCTGTTTTGCATAATGCATGATCTCCTCTCTCTCTCTCTCTCTCTCTCTCTCTCTCTCTCTCTCTCTCT